TAATAGACAATATAACAGAAGGCAAAGAAAAATCACCTTCCGGTAATAACAACATTGCGTGGACCAGCTCGGTAACGATCTTCCAAAACCATGTTAGCACCAGTCATTGTTCCAATGATAATTCCACCAAGCCAGCTATACCAGACCAATGAGTTCATTCTAACTTTAACACACAGCGTGAAACACATGTTTACCATCATGTAATGTTTTAACTGATCATGGCATATTTCTTTGGACTCTATCCTAAGAGAACCTTATTAACAAGTGTCTCAAAATTCACGTTGGAAGAACCAAGCTTATGATCTACCGCATCCTCTGCCACGCAACGCCACTCTTCTGCTTTCTACCTCATTTTCTTTCCTTTCTCGCCGTCCATAAGCTCTCTGACCACTACCTCAACCTCCTCTCTCTTCACATCTCCGCCGATCTCCATCCCAACTTCCCACTCATCACAAGTGAACTTACAGTTCGTTTGTTGTTCTGCAAAAAACGGCCAACACACCATTGGAACTCCGCAAGAGAGACTCTCTAACGTTGAGTTCCATCCACTATGTGTTAAGAATCCTCCGATCGCCGGATGACAAAGAACTTTCTCTTGAGGACACCAACTCGCCAGCATCTCCGACTTGCCGTCTCCATTAAAAACTCCGGTGGAACCATCGCGTCTTCTCCGGCTACTAAATCTGGCCGGATCACCCATAAAAACTCTTTCCCACTTCCTGCTAAACCCCAAGCGAACTCCACAAGCTGTTTCCCGGTCATAACTGTTATGCTCCCAAAGTTAACGTAAACAACACTGTTTTGAGACTTAGTATTGAGCCAATCTAAACTGTCACATCCCTATCCCAAAAATTTGGAATAAACCCTAACTTATTTTTCAAGGATGCTTAATTGGTTTGTTGGGCTAATGAGAGGATTGGGTTAGACCGGAAAATGGTATAACAAAGCTTCATTGCAAAGATTTGGAGTGGACCGAAGAACTTAATGCAAATTATATGAAGCCTTAGGCCCACGTTTTTGGTAAAGCCTTACTATATATTGATTAAACCAAGCCAAAGTCAACCTTATTATAGGGAGTAAGCCCTAGCGTTTATTTGGGTTTTGGAGAGAAACGCCGTTGACAAGAGAAAACGAAAGAAGAGAGTTTGAGAAAGAAATCGTG